CACGGAAGTATAAAACAAATACTATTATATTTTCAAAAAATAAACAATAATTTAAAATAACTTTTCTACCCGACTACGCCAAAAGGAGGGTTATGTTTAAAGGTATATATGCTGGATGTATATGATGGATTATGGATTTTGGTTTAGGAGGCATCGTTAGATTAATTGTGAGAGTAAGACTGGATATATGAAAATTATAAAAAAATTCAAATCGTCGGTTGGTAAATTTAATATAAGTAGGTATACATTTTCACGGATTATTGTTCTTTACAATAATAAACTTGTTTCTATACTACTTATTATTATTCATATATAAACAATAACTAACTAAAATTACTACACGCCTTGGGCAGGTTCTAATATTTTCGTATTAATCCTTAGATTATTAATTATTTTTGTTTACGAAAAATAAGTTAATTATTGTATGATACGGAAATTTGTAAGTAGATTTTGACTTCTTCAATATCTTGTAGTAGTAAAATAGTCGTAGTAATAATAATATATTTATTTGTCAGCATACGTGTATACAGAGTTGTTAGTAGTTACATTTTAAATGCTTACATTTTAAAAGATTGTATTTTTTTTATCTGACATTATCATGCAATATTACTGTCACAAATTCTTATCGTCAAAAAATTCTTCGATACTGTAGAAACATTTGTCTAAGAGCAACTTGGTGACTTGTTATTAAGCCACACAGTTTACATTTTTACTAAACACATTAACTCTTTGACTGGGTACTAGGAGTTCGTGTGTATTTCTGCTTGACTTGCTGTGCCACCCGGTTAAATAGTTCATCCCCTTCCGGATATACGTGTAAGCGTAAGTATGTGTGTAGTCCAGTGGATTACTGGTTGTAAACATAAAATAACTGAACGTATTTGAATAAGTTATCCACTATTAGAAAACTACATTATTCAAAATTAATATAGGCTATGTAGGTTTTGCCATGGGATCTATTAGAGCCTGCTTGAGCGGACTGAACGGATGGCGTAGTAGTTTAATCGGTCGCCACGCCGCTTACTACGCGCTTACGCGAGTGTTGTGGGCCCAATCCCCACATGGGACGACAGATTGTCTGATCCACAAATTGTTGTTCTGAGTCTGGGTGTTCTTTGTGTCCATTTCATGTTTGTTGGTAAAGTCCATATACTCCTAATGGGGGAATTGTCTTTCAAAATAATAATTTAAAAAAATACCACGAACGCACTCAGATCCGGTGTTAAGCAATTCTTTGTTTGCTTTTCACGAAGTGAGCGAGGTTATGGAGGTGGAACCCCTGGCGCTGCCTACTAACTATGTTTACTCTAGCAACGCACTTCTGTATTTTGAGTAGCAGGTGTCCAGGAGCGTCGATAGTCACTTACCATCAGGAGACCTGTCTGCTCGTTTGCACTTTACACCACAAAAAGGCAACATTTTATCACACGTGTCGTCACAAAGATTTTTGTTCTAAAACATCATTCAATAACTAAGGTATAGCTAAGTACATAGGTATTTAACTATAACACATTAGTAATAATGTACAAGTTATACATAAACCTCCGTCCGTTGAAACTCCGTTCCACATTTCATTTCATTTCATATCTACCGAATAATTTATCGAGAATTAATCATTTAGCGGTGAGATAGGACCTCAAAGTGATCTGTATCTGAAATTGAATATCAATTACGTATCTTTCATCTGGTAATGAATCTGGCTCCAAGTATAATATATTATCAATTTATAATGATATTCATAACTGATAAATCGTGGGGTTGTATGTAAAAGCGAAGGGTTGTGCACTCTCTTTGTAGCACACTTGTGATTCAACTTCAACTTTAGATCATTTTACAGATTAGAGCCACTTCCTCGTCAATGCAGAGTTACGGCATTGAAATCATGAATCACGAGTTAATTTTGCGTTGAATTCGGTTGGGCTAGAATTTTCTGATTCTTTTTTATCAACAATTCTAGATGTAAACTATTACATAGTAACTTTTCTCCTACTCAACTCTTAATAAAATTTAGAGATGGTGTGGTATAAAATGGTAAACACGTGAATGAACGATTTATTTTTCATATTATGTATGCTCACATATTTTACCCAAATTGCAAGGCAATGGAAGACGCGATTATTCCTCTTCTGAAATGTTTCGCCAAAATACTTAATTATCATTTTCTCAAATCAGGCATGAGACCTTCGAATAAATAACATGCGTAAACGTTGAATATAAATCTAAGAAGCTGCTTTGTTCAGATGTATAAATCTGGACGTAATCTTAAAAACGTTCACAATCATTGGTAAAATATCGGCAACGCCCCTTTAAATTATAAAAAATCTACAACTACCCACTTGGTCTTCATTTTATTTATTTATGTTCAGAAGGTATCGGCACACCAAACACATCTGTTAAGTTCTGTCAAGCAAGCAGAAGATAAAAGTAGGAATGATGATTTCAGTTAGCATAATAGGATCGGCTAGAGGTTTAGTCAGCCAATTTATGGTACGATATGTAAATGCATGTATTTTTTTATGAAATGGAGGGCAAACGAGGAGAGGGATCACCTGATGGAAAGTGACTACCACCGCCCATGAACGCATGCAACTTTGGAGTCACAAGCGCGTTGCCGCTCTTTCTTGAAGGTCGTATCGGTCCGCAAATACCGCAGACGAAAACTTGTCCCAGAGGTTAGTAGTGCAAGGCAAAAAGTATCTTGAAACGCGCACAGTAGAGGAGTCTCAGTTATTCAAATGGTGATGAAAATTTTGCCGTCTGGAACGATGGCGGAAAGTTGCGACCTTTATTAGTCCGAACAATTCCTCAGAGCACTCTCCATGATATATACGATAGAGAATGCAGAGCAAAGCTACATCTCTACGCAACGCCAAGTGATCGAGCCGGTCGGAGATCTTTTGGCTATCGACTATTCGAGTCGCTCTTCTTTAGATACGGTCCAGAGGGAGAAGCTAGTACTAAGGGGCCCCTGTATAGAGATAAGAACAGTATTCTACTCGTATATGCGGCCGGCATTACGCCTTATAGAGTTTGAGGCGATGGGCTGGAGTGAAACACTGCCTTGATCTGTTCATGCTTCTGCCTGCAAGGAAACTGGTGACCCAGTTACATAATTTTTCGAGAAGCCCATAGGAAGGGAGCTTTGTGAGAAGCGCCTTATGCCACACCCGATCGAAGGCCTTCGGTATGTCCAAGCTTACCGCACAAGCCTCTCCCTTGGTCTCGATCGCCTGTACTCACCGGTGTGTTAGATGGACGAGAAGATCACCAGCTGAGCGACCCCGGCGAAAACCATATTCTCTGTCATGGGTAGCTGGCGATTTCTATATATGTAAATTATATGATGTAACATTATATGAAAAATATTCAAACCTGTAAATTGTTCCACCTATACTTCTCTACTTTTTCAAATCGTTTACACTTTCCATGTGATTTTGGGATCGAGAAGAAATCGAGAGAACTTTAGAAATATTATACCTGGTCACAATTACAAAAACAACTCACTATGATTGTTTTTTAACGAGTTGCGATACAATTGCTTAAATATATTTATTACGCTATATATGTTATGCTCGTCGTAATCTAGGTATATGTTGAAGTACGAGTAGAATTCCTTAACAATTGACGTCCTTGTATTTTGAATAGGTAAGCTTAGGTATTAACAGATAACATTAAGTTATTATAATTTAATTTAATTACAAATCGACAAACTAAAAAGAAAGATAAAAAGATTAAAACAAGGTATTATCTTAGGTTGATAACGATTTACCTACCGCCGGAAGTTTAATTCCGTAATCGCTGCATTTATGCTAATGCTGATTCCGCGTCGTTGAGTTTATGCCCTCATCTGTTAAATATCATTTTATTATAAGGGTTTTTAAAAATAGGTGGTGCGCATTTCCACCTGTATATACATTATATTGGTACATTGTCTACACACGGTTTTTAAGAGAGAAAAAACATTTAAATTAAACAATGAAGACTATAAGATATAACTAGCTTTTGCTAGGGGCTTCATGAAAAAAATCATCTAAATCATTTGAGCAGTTACTGATTCTCCATACAAACTTCCACCGTCCTTTTTACCTCTTAAAGGATGTTTTCCTGGATAAAAACTAACCTATGTCCTTTCCCGGGACTCGAACGATCTCTGTACCAACTTTCATCTAAATCGGTTCAGCGGTTTAAGCGTGAAGAGGTGACAGACAGACACACTTTCGCATTTAAAATATTAATATGGTTATATGAATAGACCTTATGAAGTAAGACAAACTTTTTAAAAGATAATTATTAGCATAATACATCATTTACTATCAAATATCTAACTACATATTTTACTTTACTTTACAGCAATGAAACTTTAAGGAGGTCTCAGAAACTGACAATCAAATATAATAAATTTACAAGCTGGCTAACATTGAAATATTTTAAACTAATGTGAATTTTCCTTTGACAACTACTGTGTAAAGTCAATTATTCATAAAGTTTTCGTGACCTGAAGAAGAATGTAAGATACTAATTAAGAATTTTAGAATCTATGCTAACCTACATAACCACCCAAGCGTACGTAATCTATTTCGTACGAGTTTCAAATTAAACAAAGAGTTACTCTCGTATGCCGTATATATATTATAATCAGCTAGACAGACACAATCACTGTCACAAAGCACTCGCAGAGACATTAAAAGCATCCACCCTATTCAGTTTCACATTTTACCTCAAGAACTTCCATACATGATTTTGCGTTTTGTGAAACAAAACATAGTGCAATGCATAAACTTTAAACGCAAGATCGACGAGAAGCCGTGGGGACAATAAAACAAAGAAAAGCGTATCTGGCCCGGAGCGTTACAGAGGCGGGCGGCACGCGGCAACACTCGCCGACCAATCAGCGTTCCGATCTCACCTCCGCCCCATCGGCCCGCCCCAACAGACCGCGCTCCCGCCACGGGTGAATGAGACGCAGCATCCCTATAAAGATTTTACATCGATTATGGGGTATGGGAGCAGGCCGTTTCTCTCTCGCCCATGGGCGGCGACGTGAGTTCCTCTCGCGCAGTCGCGAACAATTAACGCGCGGGGCGGCGTGGTCGGTGCGCGGCGCGACGTGCCACGTCACTATAATGTGGTTAGTCAGTGAGCGTCGGGGCCGAGCCGACGGCGACGGTGACGGCACGGAACACGAGGTTAGAAGCGCGGGAGAGCCGCGCTGGTCGCTTAGCCAACGAGCCGGCCACAGCACGGTGGAGTTCAAGAGCTCGGCGTGCGCGGGGGCCGTGGAGCCACCCGCGCCGCCTCTCGCCGCGCTGCCGGACCCTCAGCAGTTCAACATATTCCCGGCTTTCTTTAGCCGCCAACTCAACTTTAGCGGCAGTAGTGGCTGCGGCCAAGGTTCCAAAATTATGGAAGAGTTACGGCCAAATCTAGTAGGAGGTCTCTTAGGGGTTCCCGGCCTCCTGGACGAACATCAGCCAGACGCAAAATATTTGCCATCTGGTGGTGAAAGCAAATATACGCCAGATAAAGGGCGGAAGTGTAGCAATGCGTCTAGTTCCTCGGCGGAGGAATTTGGTGGACTGTATGGCGGAGAGCACGCAGCTACACCGCCTGCACCACCACTAAGCCGTTCGTTGCAGGACAACACAGGTACGTATCAGACTTGTACTTAGTTTGAGGACAGTGTTTTAGGCAAATCTTTTTTAAACATTTTTCACAGCTATTCTTTTGTTTTTTAACACAATCAAATTTAAATTTCTATAAATCGCACTCAAACTGTATAATGCATGTAATTTAGTAATGGTCTTTCAGTTTTTTTTATGCGTTATTATGCGTACATATTGTCTGAAATATTTATTTAGAGTTACGCATGTCTTCTGTTAACTTACTTTATGAGTATTTATCATTGACAGTAATTTCGGTTTGATTTGTTGATAGTTTAAACGATTTCCCACTGTTCGATGACATGAAGTTTTTTCTTTGGGTCGTAGACTATATCTGCAGCCGACGAAACTGTTAGCAGCTAGTATTTATCCTACTATATCTATTCATTCCGCAAAATACGTTTTATTTATTTATTTTTAAAATTACTTATATTTGAAGTGTAGGTATGCCTATTTAAGTTCGTCGGTAGGATAACCTATCCATCAACATATAGATGTTGCCCCTTCGGTTGGTGTTTTAAGTATGTCATTTTTCGTTCGCGTCTAAACCTCTTTGAAAATCATATCTTAAATAATTTTGGTACGCGGCTTAATGTCTTTTTTAATTTTTTCGCTTTTAGTTTGTTTGCATTCCTTATTGCTTTTTTTTATAAATAGATTATTGAATACAAATCCTTGTGTTCCTGAGGTTGTAGCATTCAAACTTACAAGAGCTATTGTTAAGCTTATTTTAATATACATTTATAGGTACTTTTCTGCAAATTTATGTAAAATAATTCTTCATGATCTTCTCGAAAACTCATAATAAGCCCATATATGTATGTACATCCAAACCAAAATATTATAAGAAGGATTTATGATATTTGGCAATTCGTCTTGTATAACCCCGTCAAACACATTCTGGAGCATGTTGGATTGGAATAACCTTACTGTAAAATAGCAACAGTCATTGAACTTTAAAACAATAACAAGGAATGGGATTTAATTAATATATTAGTGACGAGTTTTCGAGACGCATATAGCTAATTAAAGTTACTAGAGTAGAAACTTGCTTGAATTGAGTTGAGGACAAGAAATTTGTAAAAAGTTTGGTATATTATTATATATTTTTCAATAATTTTTTTCTTTCTGTAAGAGGTTACTCTAGTTGAATTAGAAAAAAAGAAGAAATTTTAGTAATTGGCTTACTAACTTGTCATTTTGTAGGTTTAAGAAGTCGTCACCTGTCGTGGTAATAAGTCTTAGTTTTTTCGATTTGCCTTATATGTACAGATACATTACTTACCGTTTAGAAACTGTTAGGTGTTCCGAGTCTAACTAACCCGTTCTTCGACTTCTTGACTCGGAACAAGTAGAAATGAAATATAAATTTTTGATGAAATTGAAATTATTCAGTAATATAAAAAGAAACTGTTTTTTTTTATTCTTACAAAAAGAATTGTCAGTACTGTTCACAATAGTTTTAACACCTAAAGTAAGGATTGTGTAATTTAGAAAAATATTATAACAATTATACAATACAACCACTTACTTACCTAGAAAAGGAAGGCGTATGCGAAATTGTTTTTCTTACACACCCGATCTACATCATTTGCATTTTTATGGTATTAAGTAGTTTAATACGCTTGTTAAACCCCGCATCAGCATCAAGCATTCGAATCAATATATGTACTTTCATGATTGAGAAATGTAATTTCTTGAATTTGGAACAGTGCCGTGATGTCTTCTGTCTTCTTAAAATATTGATGACTATATAATTACGTCGTTATACAATGGTATATTGATATAACAAATGCATCAACTAACCAGGGAGCACGTAGATAGCCACTACACTGGATATGTGTGTATAATTACAATTCCAATTAGAGTAATATTGCAAACAATCGGCCCGCGGGTGACGTCATGAATACGAAATGTCACTAACGACCGTCCCCTGAACCCCCTTCTCTGCCCGCACATCATCCCTCGCACCCCGACGCGCCCCCGGCGCGAGCGAAGCCTGAATTTTCAAGCGGTTCGGGTTGCTGTGTTGAATATACGTTCTACGCGTTTAATGTACGTTGAATAATAATTGTAACATTGACGAAAATGTGTTCGCTGTAATATGTCAGTATTTATGTATGTCTCTGGGAAATTATCGTTTAAAGTTCTCAAACCGTTGTAGTTAGAGGCTTTGAGCAATTTTGTTTAGCAGTAGTTACGGATTTAGTTTGATAACACCTTAATGAAAGAATTATCTAGGTATATCTTTACTTAATCGAAGGTGCTTTGATACCAAATGAAAAATAAAAGATTACTGCCTAGTTTTGCCAATTATAAATAGTTCATCTATACACTACATTTCATCATCATTAGCGAAAGAAAGAAATTTAATAATTCCATGACAGTTTATTTTCTTCATGTAATGTTTGAATTGGTTTACATTCTTCAAACTACTTGATTAGTTGTTTATTCCAAAAGGTCCTGATCAGAGCATTTCATTTAGAAGATATTTTCGTTTGTAAGTTTTTCTACTTTAACCTGTTTGAAATATACATACCCCATACCTTACGCCCTTACCAAACTACATATACTCGTATTGTTACCACTGTGTGCAAACTTAAACATTGCAAACCGACAATGAAATAAAGAAGTTAAAGGTATACGACCAAAATTACGTTACCTAAGTATGTATTTGGTAAACTTGATGAGTAAATATTGTTATTTATTGAGTAGTATATATAAATGTTGAGACTCAGTAGATAAACAAATTTTCTATTGATTGATATATTTGTTAATTCATATATCATGTTGCCAGAAACTAACAATTTACTTAAAATAAATTACCTAATTAAAAGCCATTAAGACTTCATTTATTAAACCGAGAGTAGTTTGCTTTTGCCAACTACGCTAGATATAGAATTGACTGAAATCCTTTGATTCAAACAGTAGGTAGGTACATCGCACGAATGATAAATTTAATGAGTCAAATAAATCTTTTAATGTTTGAATTTGAATTTCGTAATCTTCATGGTATCAACTTTTTAATATAAGATACATGGTATCAAGTTTAGATGTTAGGCGTGAAATTTTAACCAAGAAACAACCAAACTCACTTTGACATTTATATTATAAGACATTATTTCACCCGGAGATGGCCTAAAACCTCGCAAACTAAGAAACGGACCCTCAAGTGCGTTTGTCAGTCCCTCTTAGCAACTCTTTTTTTTTCATTTTGATTAATCAACATAAAATAAATTAAAACAAAACAACCTTCATCACTTGCACTGCAACTCTTATCATTGGTAATGACACCTCAATTCAACATCAAGCCAATTAGTTTAAAGTTATTACGAAACACATTTACAGTATAACCACGAATTGATTTTAGTTCCATTAAACAAAACCAAAGCGATTATATGTTAAAACAATATATATTGTTTAAACATTTATTGATTTTGTATTAACGTCTTTGTTATTTTTGAACTCCTACTAGAGTAGGTCATATTCCCATTCTTGCCCATAATTTTATGATTCTCGAATACACTCAATCAATAAAGTAAACAGTTTCGTTTGTTTCATCATCACTTTCACCTTCAGGTTTAACAGGTTGAACTTGAAAATAGAAATGTTTCTTTATTATAACTCCTATAAAATCACCAATCTTTGATTTTTCTGTTGTGTTCTCTCTATCATCATTAACATTAGACCCCGTGTGATCACCAGAATCTATGGTCTTAGATGTAACTTTTTCTGCCACCAAATCTTCATTTTCATCATCGTTTTTAAATCTGCTAGATGTTTTGACGTCATCATTTGATGTCGTCGCCTCTGGTACACTTTTAGTTACAATTGTGTCATAGCTCGAGGTAGTTTTTGGTAGATGGTTAAATGCATTTAAAATTATTGGTAATGGTGAACTAGTCCCTACATTGAGCCAAGTTCTAACTGTTGCAGGATTTCTTTCATTAAAGTAACGTATATTAGATCCTTGGCTATATTTTCTGTCATTTAAAGGTGGTAAGAATGTATGAATAACTCCGTTAGGTCTTCTTACAGGTTGAGCTATTCCATAAATACTTCTGATTGATTGACTCATAGTATTTTCTGTAAGTGAAATGAGGATAATATATGGTTAAATATACATTTATATTAAAATAAAAGATGCAAAAAAAACTAATTATTAATGTCATGTTTAACATACTATTCATTTATACTTTTGTGCTCATGTCATTTTCAATTGGCCCTCCGACATCATTCGATATTCATCAAAATCCCAAGAAGGTATTTTTGATTAAAATAGCTATATAAAAAGAAAATATATGTATATTAGTCGTAAAACAATACTCACCGAACACCATTAAAACACAAACTACAAACCGTAGTGACTCCATAACTTATTTAGACAACGTTTAAACTCAAACTGATACAGATGACATAATTTAATTAGTAAATAACTCGTATTTATGGCGAACTAATAGGTTTTATAATTAATGATGGCTAACCAGTACTGATTGATTGAATGACGGTGTAAAACAATACTGACTGGTAGTTTAGGGCGGAGAGCAGACAAAATCACAGTCACAGTAATCACTTTTTTTAAACTAAGTACATACTTAGTTTAAGGTTTAAAAAGTTTAAATATAAAATTGTGTTTGTACTAATTGTTTTTCGGTAAACTCAATTTCGTTTTAAATAACACATAGAAGTGGGTGATCGACCAGATTTCAGCAGAGCAGACGAAGATGGTCAGGGTACAAATATATCAAGGAGTTTTCAATGTAAGAAAATCGGCAGTATCTTCAAGGACCTGTTTAGATGCTTATGATTCATCTCAACTCATTCCTACCTGATTTTGAAAGAGATTAAATGTGTTATGTATATATAATCACCAGATATAATCACCGTCATAATGCTTCTTCCATTTGCAACTTACAGGAAGCCACAAGTGTCCTGAAAAAAAAACCTACTCAAACATGCTGATGAATATTTTGACCGGGTGCGGATCACCTTTTTTTTTAGATTATAATAGCAACTCCAGTGTATGATTGTATAATCAGCTTGAGTAACGGTGCCTGAAACTATCACACAGATTCTAAAGAGTGTGTTGTGTATGATAAATACCTTTATCCTTCATAGAGCCAAGACAAGTATCTTATCCTTCTCGATCTGGGTGATGGAGCCATAGTACTACTTTTGTCTACTTGGGTTACTAAGTACTACTACTTGCACTACATCTTCTGCCTGAATCACCGTGATATGGGTAAGAAGAGAAAGAGTGGACATTCAAATTCATAGCCAGCCTAGGTCTCTCAGAACTGTTTACCAGCTTATAATATTATGATAACTTCTTCATTGTTTTTACGTCATCATAATATTTATTTTAACATTTAATTATAAAATGTAAAGTGTTAAGTAAAACATTTTCAATCAAAGCTATTAAAGAAAGTAAACTATCAAACGATTGACTATAAATAACTAAAATTAAGAAGCCTTTAAACCGAATTTCGAATTAATTGGTCCTTACATATGAAATTAGCGTTTTGTCGTACTGACCACTTTGATCCGAAATATCTCCTCTTTGGTTAAGAATTCAAATTTATAAATTCATTTATCTGGTACATTTGAGTTTTGAAAACAGTCATTCATTTGTTTTTTCCTAGTTTTTTTTTTCTTTGGCGTCGCTTATTACCGCACAATGGAAAACATAAAATATCGGTACATTTACGAGTACGAGTTCTACCGTGGCACCAGTGCTGCAGAAACAGCTCGAAGGATTAATTATGTGTACGACGCTGGTGTAGCAAAAGAAAGAACGGTACGTTTTTGGTTTCAACGTTTTCGTTCTGGAAATTTCGACCTTCAGAACCAACCCCGTGGACGGCCGGAGACCAAAGTGGAAAGTGAAGAATTAAAGGCTATTGTGGAAGCGGGTCCATCACAAAGCACTTCAGAGATAGCTGCAGGCTTCGGGGTAAGTGATAAAACTGTATTAATCCACGTGAAGCAAATCGCAAATCGCTCGTCGCAATGGCTGAACCCTGGAGACCCACCCAAATCCTGCCCGAAACGAAAATTGACTCAGAAAAAGTTACTTGTGAGTGTTTGGTGGACCAGCGCCGGTGTCATCCACTACAGCTTTCTAAAATCTGGCCAAACGATTACGGCAGATATCTATTGTCAGCAACTGCAAACCATGAAGGAAGAACTAGCTGCTAAAGAACTGAGATAGGTCAATCGCTCTAGGCCACTGCTGCTTCACGACAACGCAAGACCACACACTGCACAACAAACAAATTAGATGAGCTACAATTGGAATATCTGCGACATCCACTGTACTCCCCGGACCTTGCTCCAACAGATTACCATTTTTTCCGGAATTCGGACAACTTCTTACAAAGAAAAAAAATTCAACTCCGATGCGGCAGTCCAAACCGCTTTCAAAGAGTTTATTGATTCTCGCCCCCATTGTTTTTTTAGTAAAGGGATCAATGAACTACCTATGAGATGGCAAAAGTGCATAAATAACAACGGTACATACGTGGATTAATTAAATATATTTTACAAAAAAAAATGACTCTCTGTTCAACCCGTACAAAACGCCAATTTCATATATAAGGACCTAATATAAATGAAATCAACAACAGAAATATTCTCGCTTTCATGAAAACGTTTGTGACTCCTGTGTTGCACCTGAGTACCCCAATGTCATAAAGCCAGCTAGTTAAATCACATGTAAGCAACTAACTATCTCCATTCCACCTGTTCCTCCTAAAATAATCGAAAAAATTGTGTAAAATAACTTAAGGAGGTCTTTCCATGTGACAGTCTGTTTTTTTCCTTTTTTTGACAAACAATGAAAAGATTTAGTTTTTAAATTGATTTATTACTATTACAAAATCATGTAAAACAAATACCAAGCGAAAGTTTTGATCACATCGGAAGTTGTACAACACTGAACAACTACTTTGATGTGGATGTTAACTTCCTTCACAATTTCGACTGATTAGCCAATCAATCAAATCAGAAAGAAAAAAACTGCATTTTAATATAGAAGCCTAAATGCGTGAAATGACCTAGCATTAAGCATCGAAAACGAACTCTAATTATGAAAAATTTCTGTACCAACATATCACACATGTCATGTTAGAAAACCAATTAAAACCGATTTTTCAATCATTTCCCTTTCTCGTAACTTCAGTAAGTTACATCTGCTATAAACAGTAAGGCTTTTGATTAGGGTCAAGCACGCTCTCTTCAACAATTACTAACTTTTTACTTACTTTTAATCTTTTGTGTCTCATGACATATAATGTTCATACATGGAAATCAAAGTGATTACATAACAGGTATTAAACACCTTTAAATTGGCTCGCACCTCGGTTTTCCGAGCGGTCAGATATACATCGCAAAAAGCACTAGTCGGTTTAGATACAAATTAGGGACACCATTAGGGGGGTATGTAATATTACATAAAAAAGAAATATCTAAAATATACGGGTAGCTAGAGAACTATAGACGTTCTACCTCACGGGTTCGACGAAGCGACGGTTGAAGACATCACTGAACCGAGCAAGTGCAAGTTGGTCGAAATGTCAAGCAATTTAAAGGTATCTCAGTAATACTTTTTACACGATAGTGCTTATTTTAGTTTACAAACATTATATCCCTTCTGTAATAATTTATTTTGCAACAAACATTAGAACCAAAAGCAATTAAAACGAACTGCCCTGGAAATGTTATAGGCTTTAAAAAGGCCTTTTGGCACAGTGACTTTTTTTAATCTTCTTTAAAATCTATCATGGGCTTTAAAAGTATCCTAAAGAAGATGGTTTGAGAAGTAATGCCTATTTAATTAAATAATGCTTTCGATGAAACTCAGAATGACCCTAAATGAATAATTTTAAGGTTTGCCTTAAAACAGTCCTGAACAGTTTCTTGATAATAAAAATATGTTCAAACAAACATTTCGAACTAACATTGTTTCCTATTACCCACAAAAGATTTATTTATTCTTCACTGAAATATACTTAATGTTATTAATGTGTTAATATTTATATTTTAGTTTTAATTTGTGTACATAGTTTTATTGTTCCGGTACAAATATGAATTATTTAAGTGAATGAATTCCAATAAGGAATATAGTTGTCTAAAACCCCAACATTTAATCAAATAACGTTCGTTCGAATGACGCACAAACAGCTTACAAACTATTAATATGTGACGCGTGGTCATCGTGTGCAAATCTCACCTGCACTCTACTCTCAGTACCCGATGTATCTTCCATTCAATGTCCGATGTTTTGGACCGGAAATGGTCATTTGTGTGCACCGCAGATGTTTGGTCCTTGTTAAAAGATTCTAAATGAGCTTAAATCTCCTATTATTAAACTCTTTAAGGTGTGCTTGTGTAAGCAGCTAGCTTATTAATACATAAATATGTTTTCTTTGCGTTTGATTATAATAGGTCACAGAGTAAATTTTATTTCGGGCAAATCCTTCAGACCAATATTTTCTTTGAAACTCTTGTCAAAAAACAACTTCTACGTAACATACAGAACGAAAAACAATATTGAATGTAAAAGTAATATTAGAAGCACCTTGTCTAATAGTGCAAATAAATATTCTTGTTTCTATTATTCTATAATTAATAAATATTGAACAAAAATCATTAAAGAAATTTGCAACGCACAACATGTCGAAATCCAAGTCGCAGAAAACAAAGAAACAAAACAAAAAATCTAACTTCTAAACAACTAACCAATATGCGCATAATAATCCGGTTGTAGAGCCACTCGACATAATGGAGTGTCGATTGCCGACGCGCGCGCACCCCTCACTTAATCCGTTAAACCCATTGTCATTCACACATTGACACGTCAAACCCCCTCCAAATCAGCTGGCCCTTGAAAAAAAGTTATTTAATGGGTTGTAACTTTATTTGATTTGAAAGTATTTTGACGCGCTTGTCGAGGGAAATGACGAATATTTAGATTATTTTTTAATTCGTGACCACCGCTTATTAACAATACAGGTTTACCAGAGCACCATGGTAGGAGAAGATGTGAAGAAATACGGTTTGATGAAATGTGGTAGAAGT